CCCTCCCTCCCTTCCTTCCTTCCTTCCTTCATTCCTCCCTCCCTCCCTCCCTCCCTTCCTTCCTTCCCTCCCTCCCTCACTTCCTTCCTTCCTTTCCCTTCCTCCCTCCCTCCCTCCCTCCCTCCCTCCCTTCCTTCCTTCCTGCTACTTCCTTGCAGTCAAGGCTGAGAAAAAAACCACTTAAAGTGGGAGGAGGAGGAGGAGGAGGAGGAAGAGGACCTCCTTGCACCCGAAAAGCAGGCCTGCTAGTCAAAGGGGCTGTCCGGGAGAGCTTCTCTTGCTTTTCTCCCTGTTCCGAGGCGGCTCCGGAGACGGGCCGGAGGAGGCCTCCCCTTGCCTAGCGCCCGACTGTGGCTTCCTGAGCCATCATGGTGATCCTTTCCTGAGCCTCCATTTGATGCTCCGGAGTTCGGCCTGTGTTTGGTTTCCATCTGTCTGATTTGGCTGGGAAGAATCCCGTTGGATCTGGGTCAGAAATGTGTTTCTCTAAAGGGGCAGCCCGTGCGGAGAAGGCTATGCCCGTGGATATAGGGTTGGGGGAGGGAGGGAGGGAGGAAGGAAGGAAGGAAGATGGAGAAAGGTACAATTGAAGAAAGAAAAATATGAGAGGAAGAAGGAAGGAAGCAAGGAAGGAAGGAAGGAAGATGGAGAAAGGTACAAATGAAGAAAGAAAAATGAGAGGAAGAGGAAGAAGGAAGGAAGGAAGATAGAGAAAGGTAGAAAGGGAGAAAGAAAAATGAGAGGAAGAGGGAGGGAGGAAGGAAGGAAGATGGAGAAAGGTACAATTGAAGAAAGAAAAATATGAGAGGAAGAGGAAGAAGGAAGGAAGATAGAGAAAGGGAGAAAGAAAAATATGAGAGGAAGAGGGAGAAGGAAGGAAGGAAGATAAGAAAGGTACAAATGAAGAAAGAAAAATATGAGGAGAAGGAAAGAAGATGGAAAAAAGTACAAATGAAGAAAGAAAAATGAGAGGAAGAGGGAGGGAGGGAGGAAGGAAGGAAGGAAGATGGAGAAAGGTACAATTGAAGAAAGAAAAATATGAGAGGAAGAGGAAGAAGGAAGGAAGGCAGAGAAAGGTATAAAGGGAGAAAAAAATATGAGAGGAAGAGGAAGGAAGAAGGAAGGAAAGAAGGAAGATAGAGAAAGGTACAAATGAAGAAAGGAAAATATGAGGAAGAGGGAGAAGGAAGGAAGGAAGGAAAAGAAGGAAAGGAAGGAAGATAGAGAAAGGTACAAAGGGAGAAAAAAATATGAGAGGAAGAGGAAGAGGGGGAAGGGAGGAAGATAGAGAAAGGTACAATTGAAAAAAGAAAAATATGAGAGGAAGAGGGAGAAGGAAGGAAGGAAGATAAGGAAGATACAAATGAAGAAAGAAAAATATGAGAAGAAGGGAAGGAAAGAAGGAAGGAAGATGGAAAAAAGTACAAATGAAGAAAGAAAAATGAGAGGAAGAGGGAGGGAGGAAGGAAGGAAGATGGAAAAAAGTACAAATGAAGAAAGAAAAATGAGGAAGAGGGAGAAGGAAGGAAAAAAGAAAGGAAGATGGAGAAAGGTACAATTGAAGAAAGAAAAATATGAGAGGAAGAGGAAGAAGGAAAGAAGGAAGGAAGATGGAGAAAGGTACAAAGGGAGAAAGAAAAATATGAGAAAGAGGGAAGGAAGGAAGAAAAGAAGGAAGATTGGAAAGAACCCATATGGGTGGTTCTTGACTTATAACCGTTCATTTAGTTACCTTTCAAAGCTACAATGGCACTGGAAAAAGGGGCGGATGACCCTTTTTCACATTTATGTCCGTTGCAGCCTCCCCGCGGTCACGTGATCAAAATTCAGACACTTGGCAACTGGCATGTACTTATGACAGTTGCAGAGTCCCAGGGTCATGTGATCCCCTTTGCCGACCTTCTGACTGGCAACGTCAAAAGGGAAGTTGGAGATGCTTTAACAACCGTGTGACTAACTTAACATCTGAA